CATCTCCGCTTTCGGTGCACCATATTTCAGTACGGTATCGCTTAGAACTTTGCTCCCATAAGCTATGGGTCGGAGAACAGTCCTCCCATTCCATTCTTGTTCCTGATGGAGTATGCCCGAGATAGCGACTACTGATACGTCCGTGTCCAGCACAAACATTCCTTTCTTGGTCGGCATGCCGAGGACAGGAGCCCAACAAAGTTTGCGTTTGACGTTCTCAAAAGAGACTTCAACCTCGTCAGTCCAATCGAATTACTTTCCCTTATTTCGCATCAATTGCTGCATAGTGTATATCTTGTTGGCATACCCTTTGATAAAATCGTGGTTGTATTTAGCAAAGCCGAGAAAGCTCATCAATTGTGAGTCGGTTTTCAGTGCCTTCCATGTCAGCACTGCTTCAACCGCTTCAGAATCTGGTCTGACTCAGTGCTTGTCTACATGGCGAACCAGATACTTTTTTGAGTCCCTAGGGACCTCGCACTTGGAGGGTTTACGTTTCACGCAGGCCTGCTTCATGCAAGTAAAGACTTCGTATAGTCTCTCTATGTGATCCTCCAAGGTAAGTGTCGCAATCACAACGTCATCAGCATAACTTATTATGAGGTTCCCATACTTCTTTGTTACATTCGTGAGTGCCTGGGCCATCAACCGTCGTGTTGCATTGAACAAACGGCATTCTTTTTCGCTGGAACAGTCCCAGTTCAAATGCAAAGCCCGTTTTCTCTCGATCCTGTTTTCTGAGGGGCACTTGCCATAACGCAGAGCCCAAATCCAACGTCGTGAAGAGTTTTGTGTCTCCCAACTCCGAGATACGAGTGATCGGGTATGCATCTCTTATCATTACTGCGTTCAAATAGCGGAAATCACAATAAAACATAGGTTGCCCCCTTTGTTCTTAGCCATGACCACGCAACAGGCCCACGAGGACTTCGATGGCTCAATCATATCATACTCCGACAATATCTCAATTTCTTTCCTACAAGCCTCTGATTTATATGGGGTCATTCTCTTGTCTCCCTCCGTGTGATGTACCGAGCCCTCTTTTATCTCTATCTCATTTTCGACAAAATTGTAACAACCTATGTCGGCTTTGTGTTTCGAAAAACGTCTGCGTTCCGATTCAACCCTGCTCTAAGGTAAACCAGTTCCTCATCCGCTATTTTGCCTTTCAGGTGTTGTATCTCAAGTAGGACTGGTTTTTTGCCGCTAAGTCTGTGTCTATTGGTCTCTTAGGGAAATTCGAGCAACTAGACAGCCCATCGTCTGTCTCTGAGATTTTATAGAAATTTTTTTTTCTAAAAGACTTCAATTCATTTATTCTTTTCAATATACTTTCTTGGTTGGCATGTGATGGACAGTTGTTTTCTAAATCTTCAAGTTCTCCAAACTCTGATATTCTGTTTTGAGAGGCAAAGCATAGCCAAGCTGCTTTCCAGGTTGTAATGTCATCGATGTTGCCTGTGTGTTCAACAACACAATCACACTTAGTCCGTTCACTTAGTGATAAAATTCATCCTGAAATTAATGACTTCTTACTGCTTGGGTTGGGTAACAGACGAACTTCTCTGTTGTTACTATGTTCATTTAATTTCGTCATTCTAAACGACTCATTACAGCTTGATTCGCCTTCAACCAAATTTTTCGATCTGAGAAAATTGGCGAATTTGTTTGATTTATCAAGATCTTATTATCAGATTTTTTTTTCATATTTTCTTTCTGGGTCTTTGATTCGTATCAACCCGTCGTTAAGGTCAAAGTTGCGCACGAAGTCACATCCTAGGACAAACTGGTCGGATTCATCCAAGTTTTTGACAGCCAGAGAGCTCATCCAAGATGCCTTCCTCCAACTGCAGCGAGATGATAGGAGTCCTTCCGGCCACATAGATTGCGCCCCGATATTGCGCCCCGATTGGCCGCAGCCAGTCTGATGTTACCCGGTATCAAATTCTATGTCGCCCAGGTCGCCTATTGAAGCCCATGTTGTTCCAGGTGCTGATAGGCATGGCACTGACCACCGCCTTGGTGTCATATAATCCTTTCACTGAGAGTAGTCCCCGCTATATCGCCTTAACAGTCTAAGTGGACTGCATCCTGCTAAAGCCCGGCTTTGTGTCCAAATCGCCGCACCTTGAGCTCCTCTTGACCGATGTAGATCCGGCGTACTTGGGAGCTTTCGTGTAGATGTTTATGCCATCCACATTCATCACAAAGGGTATGGCCGATAGACATTTCTATAATGTCCGTCTACTCTCATCAGTCTCGGCCCAGCTGTTTTGAGTAATGCTCTCACAGCCTTAGAATAAAACTTGGGATCTTTTTGCCTCAATTAGTCAGCATACATATCAAGGTGTACCAGGGTGTACGCAATAACCTGCGACCGATATGATTGAAATTATCTTCATCCCCTCTCTCTTCTTTTCGAAGGTCTTCCCTGAAATGACATTCAACTGGAAATCTCGGCTCTTGTGTTCATGGTTGTATTGTTCTTTCACTGTCCTCTCTAGAGTATTCAGTTTCTTGCGCAACTCCGTATTTTCCAGTTCAGACCTCACCCATTGTTCCACTTCTTTCGTAGCAAACTCTTGTTGAACCTTCTGTAGTGCGGTAGGAGCCGCTAGGCCATAATCTACCTTAAGCGCATTAGCTGGTGCAGCTTCCAGGCTCGAGGCAATCGCATCCTTTGGCAAGGTCTTCACCTTCTTAGTTGTGAAGGTTCCTTGCGACACTTCTTTCTTCCGCGACTCAGCTTAGTTCATCAGGCGTGGTCGAAGAGCCTTCACACCTGAAAGCGCCTCTTTGCGGCGGGGATGCTGCGCGTCTGCTACTGCATCACAAAACTGAGTGCAGTTCTAACTGATTGCAAAAGAAACATCTTGGCACAAAATTCCTTAGCGCCATCTCACATAATCTTCGTGGTCTTTGTCAGTTGCGTCCACGTCGTCAGGGAAGTAACCAATCGCTTTCTTGTTTTGTTAATAAGTAGAACAAGCTCAGTCATGATTGTCCAGCGAACCAAAATTGGTGCATTACCTTCTCTTGTTCATGTCATCACGAGGCTTAAGCCAACCAGAACTTTTGCCGTTGTTAATTCCACTATAGTTGCCGTAATTGCAGTAAAGATTCTTAGCACTTGGCTTTTTGAGCAGGTATTCGTGCAATTTCATGCGCAAATCGTCGGGCATGGGCACGGAGTACACCGGCAAGGTAAGATAGGTGGCCAGCATAGTTTTCAGATCATCACTCTTTACTCCGTCCATGAACTTTGAGGCTATGGCTAATTTCCTTTCTGAGATTCGCCCATCAGGATTACGTCTCGTTCTGAGCAGTTCGAGGTCATCCATAACTTTTTTTTCAAAGG